CCCAGTACCCCCTCCTCGACCTCCCCTACGGCCCCCAGGCCCTCGCTCCGCTACCCCTTCTCGAGGAAATGGCAGCCATGTCAAAGTCTGCTTTTCACTGATGACTCCTAAGTATTCAGCCCCAACCTCCCTGAGAAGGCCAGAGAGGTTATGTAACTTGGCTGAGGCCACACAGCGAGGAACGGCAGCAGAGAGGGCCCCCTCTGGCGCTGCGCTCTACATTCCTAAGCCTGCTCTGTGCGCCCCAGGTCCGCTTGCCACCTTCTCTGCCCCGTTCTGTGTTCTGGGGGCTGACCTCTGGGGACGGTGGCATCGACAGAGCCCTGTGCCGCTGGCCTCCGGTTGGGCTTGGCTGCCGGGGAGCTTTCAGAAGACCGGAGGAAGGAGGAAAGCGAAACCAGGCTTTGATTCCTCCGGCGTGTTCCCAGCGAGGTCACCTGGGTGGGCTGTCCCTTGGCCCAAGGGTCGCAGATCCTCTTGAGAGACCTCTCTCTACAAGACTTCCTCCTTCTGGTCCAGGTGACTCCCCTCCCTGCACCCCGGTCCCCTGGCCAGGACTGTCGGAGCTCCCCTGCCTGCTGCCATGGGCCCAGGTCCCTGCATCAGCCCTCGTGCAGGCCCTGCATTGTGCTCAGGCCTTTGCAAGAATTCCCCCCGGGCGCTGCCCCGGTCCCAGTGGGCCCCCTTGCCCGCCAACTCTGGGGCGTCTGCCCGCTTACCTGGGACTAATTAGGTTCCCAGGAGGCTGAGCCGGCGGCCCTTTGTCTCTGGGAGCTCCCTGCCCTGCCCTGCCCTGTTTGCGGTCTCTGCCACTTCAAAGACATTGCTGGGCTCCCAGGGAGGGGATGGCTTTGACATTTATAGGGCAACCAGCAAGTTAATGAACCAGAGAGACTTCTGGTGCCTGGGGAATCCTCTTATGGGAAGGAGAAACCATCCCGAACCAGAATGTCTGGAGATTTATCGGAAACATCGAGCCAAGGGCACGGACTAACCCCGCGCTTCTTTATGCTGCAATCTCATGGCTGGACAGGCGGAGGGCTCTGCGTGTGTCCTGGGAGAGGAGACCCCAGTCATGCGGCCTCCCGCTGGGGGCCTCACCTGATCAGGGCGGCCGGGGGACCGGGCTCTTCTGTCTGGAACAGTCCCTGGGTCTTCCAACAAGTCAGAGCCCACGTCCTCTGGGAAAGTGGACTCATGCGGAAGGCCCCAGCCGAAGTGGGAGCTCCTCCATCAGACAGCGCGGGGAGCCCTCGGCTGGGCCTCACTAGCCTATGAGGTCCCCGTCTTCCAGGCCAGTCCCTGAGGCACAGCCTCCAGAAACCCCTTATGCTGTCGAGGAGGAAGATGATGTCCTAAGTGCCAAGTGACATGCGGCTCAGGTGCTTCCAGAAGCAGAGCCCGAGGCAAAGTCCGGGTTGCTAGTGGTTTATTCAGGAGGTGATTCCAGGGAACAGGAGGGAGGATTTCGGGAGGCGGGCAGGCAGGTAGGGAATGCCAGTGCTCTCTCGGTGAGGGGCTGGAGTTTCTCAAGACTCCACACAATTCAACCAACTGCTTAATGGTCTTTATTCACTTCCCTTTTTTGCCTCCGCTGGCCAGACTGGATTCTGCTATTTTGCAACTAAGAACCCTGGGCAATGTAAGTGGGTTTAAGGATGACGGGAAGAAAGGGCTAGAGGGTGGGGCAAGTGCGAGGGAGGTGCGAGTGAGCTTTCGGTGACGATGTTTTCAGAGGAAAAGTAGGCGTCTGTGTCAAGAACCGTGGAAGTGCAATAGGTTGAGGATTACAAGTGACGCGGGGTTGGTGGCACGTGGGAAGCCAAAGGGGACTCAGGGGATGGGTTTCCCTGGGGTGGTGGGGACAGGAGCGAGCCTGGAGTGGGTTTAAGGGGGAAGAGGAGAAGAGGACTGCAGTCCGTCTTTCTAGAAACTTACTGGGTAGGGAAGGAGAGGAAGGAGGTGCGAGACAGAGGAGAGATGCAGGAGAACCGTCCAGGCCGAGCGGAAGGAGCCGCCGTGAGCAGAGCTTGCTGGGGGCGGCTGCCTGGGCCTGTGCTCCGTCCCAGGGCTTGCCCTGTGCCCACGAGGGTGGCCATTGCTTACCCCCCCTCCTCCCCCCACACACGCCACACAAACGGGCCTGGGAAAGGGTGACAGTGGCGTCAAACGGAGCGGAGGAGGGGCCCAGGCCCTTGGCCCAGCACATCTGTCTCCTCACCAGCTTGCCCCTCCCTCCAGGGATGCATGCGTGTCCTTAGCACCATCTCCCCGCCTCTTTCCACCACCCACTTCGCCTTTGACGTCTGTCCTCGGTCTGCTTCATCCTGGGCCCCCTCTTTCCCACTCTGCTTTTCTGCATGACATCTGTCAGCCAGAAAGTAACCCTGCTCTGGCCCAAATGTGTCAATGTGGCTGAAACCCGCCTGTGCACAGGAACAGGAGGGCTCTCAGCTCTGGAGAGACATTGGGCCCACTAACCGTGAGCTCAGGCAAAGCTCGCTTAACGGAGTTACTGGGTAAAGACGCCTGAACCTCCCCAAAGCCTCCCCTGAGACTCCAGCCCATCGCCTTCTATCCCTCACCTTCCTCTGATTCAACCAACCTGCCCTCAAGCCCCGGTGTCTGAGAGAAGTCAGGTGCCTTCGATGAGGCTTCCTGGTTCCGTTCGCGACAGCGCCTCCTGCCTCCGCTGTGCGGGAGAGCAATTTGCTGACAAGGGCGGGGTGGGAATGGGAGGTGGGGAACTGGGTGTTTGAGGACCAGCTGTTGGCTGGCATTGTCTCTTGGAAGGGGATCTGTGTGAGCCGGGTGGTCTGTGCAGGGTGCCTGGGGGCACCCCCAGGCGCCGCCTCCCCCCTGGGGGGAGGGAGTGGGGCGTGGCAGGGTGGGGGGCTGCCTGCTTCTCCTGTTGCTTGCCTGGCTCTGCCAGCATTCAGGAGGGCTGCACAGACTCATTACCTCGATCCTCACTTCCCAGCAGAATTTTTTATTAAGGCAGACGGGCCCATATATATATTTTTTTTTGATAAAAAGTGCCAGTAGTTAGCCAACCTGCAACGTGCCAGGCGTTGTGTTAAGCACTTGCTCATGCATCATCTCACTCAACTCTCCACTGGCAGCCAGACCGATCCTTTCAAAGTGTAAATCACGTCCCGCCCCGCCCCTGCCCCAAGCTGGAGAGCTAGGCCCCCACCCACCCCGCAGAGCTGCCAGGGCAGGCCTCCCACCCCCAGCTTCCACTGCGCACCCCCACCCCCCACCATGGCCGCCCCGCCGCTCCTGGAGCAGCCCTGCCACAGGGCCTTCGCGCCTCCCTCCCCCTAGGCTCTGCCCAGCTCACTCCTCATCTTCTCAGGCCTTCGCAAGGGTCCTTGCAGACAGGGCCTCGCCCTCCAGAACGGCACCCACGGCCATGCTCCGTCCTCTTCCCCCCTACCTCTCTAGTGGCGCTCAGCACGGCCAGCGCCAACGCTGCAGGGAGGCAGGGGCCCGGCTCCGGTCACGGCTCCGTTTCCAGGACCCAGAGTGACGCCTCTGATAGAACAGTCATCACAAAATAGTCAGTGAATAAATAAATAAAGAGATGGGGCTCACAACACCTCATGATGTAAGTGCTGCTCTTCCACCCGGGATCCAGATGGGGAACCGAGGCTGAGAGAGATCAGCACTGTTCCCAGAGCCATGAGGCCAGGGAGCCTTGTGGGATCAGAAGTCAGAAAGCCTGCCTGAGGGAGGGGGCGGCCTCACTCTCTCTGCACTCAAAGCCGCGTGTCCCCCTGGGGGCCCTCTTCCCCAGACACTCCTAGGAAGGAGCATTTCCTGGCTGAACATGTTTGGGAGACGCGGCAAACTGGGTTTCTCCACTTGCTGTTTCAAATGCTTGTTAGCCTGTGAAAGGCCCTGAAACATCCTGCAGGAAAAGCCTTGGCTGAGTTTGGGGAATCACTTTTTCCAGAAGCTTTGACTTCAGAAGTCTTTATTTACCTATGTAGGTAACACCTATTAACATATTGCAGGAAGGACCTTGGGAAATCATGGCTTTTGTCGTTGTGTTGAGAAGGCAGATTGTCTGACTGAGGGTCCCGGGGCCTCTCTGCGTTGTCCGGTGGGGGAGGGCTGGGCCAGGGGCTCCCCTTCCCAGTGGGAGGGGCGTGCCCAGAGTCAGGGTCCCCGAGCCTGGCATCAGACCCCAAAGTATTCGTTCACCCCTCTCGTGCTCACCCCAGACACAGGAAGGCAGCAGTGTGGCTCCTGGGACCTTCTGGCCACACGTCAGCCCGAGCACACGTCTCTGCAGGGACCTGCCTGGGGGCCGGCTCACCGTGTACCCTTTGGTTTCTGTACCAAGTGACACTTGGTGTTTGTCCCGGGTCTGTTAGGAAGCAATTCGTTATGTGCGCTTCCCAGAACACTCGTCCTTGTTTCTCACTGTCTCATGTCTCCCCACTGGCATCTGAACCTTCTGGAAGGGCACCCCCTCACCCACTTGTGTCCCTCCAGCGGCCCGCTTTCAGCTGAGCCGACCCTGGCCGCCCAGACAATCCCTGTTGCCTCGAGTGCGAGGGGCTGGGGATCCTGCGTGCTGCGTGGTCTGTGCGGGCGAGGATCAACGACGAGGCTGCAAATCCCTTCATTGACGACCAAAGTCCTTCCCCTGCCCCGGCAGACAGGGGCGCCCCAGCGGCAGAGGGGACATGGGCTTACGTGACTGCCCGGTTCAGGGCGGTTTGGGAGACTTAGAGCACCTGTCAGAGGCCTTGACACAGCCATTTGTATTGGTGTTGATGGTGATTTGATGTCATTAGGGATTCAGGTCTCATCGTTGCGTCTGAGATCATCTGGGGATGGGGAAGGGAGGGGACGAGGCAGGCATCCACGGCAGCCCGGATCGGACCGGATAAATCTGGGAGGAGGGCGGGGGGCAGAGCCTGGCCTGCCTGGTGGGCGGCACGGGGCTGAGGCGCAGGAAGCAGGAGGCGTCAGAGTGGATGGTGACCATGAGAGGGGCCACGCAAGTCTCAGTCATGCTGCTCCTGGTGACGGTGTCCGACTGTGCGGTGATCACCGGGGTAAGTGGGCCGGCGTTTTCCTGGGGGGGGGGGTTAGGGTCCGTGTGGGAGCGAGCCAGGAAACACGGTTGGCGGGGGGGACCGGAGGGAGAGGGGAGAGCCGTCCTCCGCTGGCGCTGCCGACGGTTCACACGATTTTCCCATTAGTTAGCCCTCGCCCTGCTCAACGGATGTGCTTTGCAGAAGCTGTGTGTAAACCAGATCCTGCTCTCCGTGCAGTAGGAGAGCGCTGAAAATTCTGAAGTGCGGACCGGCGGTGACAGGAAGACTCCTCTTGGGTGTGATAAACCTTTAGAAGCTGGATGAGCATCGTTTAATTTATCTTTTGTGCCAACTTGGGTTCATATACAGCCTGGTCCAGGTGTCCAGTCTAATTGACCCAGGGTGTTGGTTTCAGGGAGGGCGGCGACCCTATTAGTGTCTGCCGGGTACTGTTAGCCTCTGCTCTCTCTGCTCTTCCCGAAGGCCGTCTTGAAACTCTCTTTCCCTTCCTGCGTATTTGTCCTCACTCTGTGCTCAGGTCTGGTAGGGACAGGGCAACTCCGACAGTCGGCTGAGTGCCCCCAAAAGCCAGCATGGGGTGACCGGGAGAAGCGCGGCCTCAGAGCAGAGGCGGTGCGTGCACGGGCCCCGCGCACGTCAGCGCTGCCAACACGCGGGTTGCGGTCTCTCCCGGAAGCGTGGTGCCTTGGGGCCGTCCTCACAGGGGGCACGCGCCGTGCTACGGTGGTGGGGCCACCCTTGTTACAAAAGAAAGTAATAGTTTCCCTGAGAGCTTTGCAGATAAAAAACCACTAGGAGAAAAAGGGGAGTTCGCTTTGATCTCCACCTCCTCCGACTTTCCCTCTGGAGAAGAGAACTGTAGGGGACGCCCAGGGACTCCTGGAATCGGGTCAGCGTGCCTGTTGACAGAAAGGAGAGCTCCTTTCTCCTCCTTGTTAAAGGGCAGGGACTGAGTTTCAAAGGACAGACATGAGAGCAGGTCAATGCCTTTGAGACCCAGAGCAGCAGTAGAATTGCTTGCGCAGAACTGTACCTAGTGAAGGAGACCCCGAAGGCCGAGGGCTGGCCTCCTACTGGGCTTCAAGGGGAGAAGCCGCGTCACCCTGCGGAGGGCGCGGGAGCCGAAGGCTGACCCCTGCCCAGGCCGCCTCGCGCTGCGAGCTCCGGCACCTGGCCCAGGGAGGTGGCAGCATGCAGGTCTGCGAGAGGTGGGAACTGTTCTTTCGAGTCATCACTTTGAAAAGCACCATTGAGAGAGAAACAGGTGAAGAGGAAATGCATGACAGGCGTGACGTGGGACGAGAGGGTAGAACCGGGTGCCAAGGGCAAGTCCGGACCCCTGACCTCCTGCCTGACTTTCCGGAAGGGGCCGGTTTCTATCACCCACACTCCTCTGCTTCCCAGCCTGACCCTGTCCCAAACCCAGGCTGGATGGTCCTTCGTCCCAGAGTGGGAGGGACAGCGTCGCCCTGCCTCTGTGGCGGGGGGTCGGGCGGGGGCGCCTGGTGTGTGAGACGCGTGCTCCCTGGGCTGGACACCAGCACGGCCCGGTGACCAGCGGCCCGGCCCCCGCCCCAGCCTTCCCCCTGGCGAGCAGTGCCTGCCGCCGGCCGCAGGCAGCAGAGGGAGCTCCGTGGCCTTTGGTGGGAGGGGAAGAGTGAGCCCCAACCCAGCCGCGAACTGCATGCAGCCCCGCAAGGCTGCAAGGCTCTGGACGCGGAGGGGTCGGGGGCTTCTCCGGAGCAGTTCCGAGCTCGGTTTTCCAGTTTCTGTTTTAAGCCAGGTCGTTCGGCCTTCTTTACAAACAGCACCTTCCAGAAACTAGCAGGCCCGCTCAGCCCCTGTTCTGGGAGTCTCACCCAGAGGGGACCATTCCTGTCAAGAGCAGGGGGGGCAGTGGGGCGGCAGCTGCTTGCTGGGCACTGGAACCTCAGATGGAGCTGGGCTTCTGGTGAGGGTGTGGGGGCACCAACATAGGGAGGGGGCACCCCCAGGTGCTGAGGGCCCGGGGAAACTTGGGCCCTCAGGCCCCTCCCCCTCCAGGAGTTTGAATTAATTCAATCCCACCAGCACCAGCTGCGCCAGAAAAGCTGCCTCCTAACCGCTAGACTTGTCAGGAGGGGAGGACTCTCCCTGCTGAGTGGCCCCAAAGGAGCTTGGGGGGAGGGCATTCCGCAGACCCAGGTTTGAGGACCCACTGAGCCCTGAGCCTCCTGCCGTGATGGGACCCGGGGCAATAATGCAAAGCCCCAGGTGTCCTGTGGGGCTTGAGGGGGCTGCTGCTCTCAGCGCCTGCCCCCCAAAGTTTTTGGATGTTCTTTTTTCGCTTCTGGTTTCTCATGGGTGGCTCTAATGGGCCTTCACGGCCCCTTTGTCGCCCACTGCAGGCCTGCGAACGGGACGTCCAGTGCGGGGCGGGCACTTGCTGCGCTGTCAGCCTGTGGCTCCGAGGTCTGCGGATGTGCACCCCACTGGGCCGGGAAGGAGACGAGTGCCACCCGGGGAGCCGCAAGGTGCTGCTGGACCTGCACGGGCGCACGGCCAATGGGGCAGAGCTGGGGCTGGAACCTCTCTTCCTACTAAGTGCCTGTTGCATGTTTAAGCCTCTTTGCAGCCATAGGTAGAAGGCTCTGTTACTAACCCATTTTGCAGATAATAAAGTTGAGGCTAAATGACTTGTGAATCGTCACACAGCTGGTAAGTGGCAGGTCTGGGGTTTGCACCCAGGCAGTTGGACACTAGCTATGCTCTTCATTGCTCCTGTTCGACGCCCCCGAGGGACCTCGGCTGCTTGGCATTCCTCCGGGTGTGCATCTCAGGGCAGAGACTGCGTCTGTCCTGTCCAGCGGCTTTCCCAGCCCCCAGCGCAGCATAGTGGGTGAATCATAAGACACATTCATTCAAGGAATGCGTGCGTGAGCGTGTACGTGCAACTGTGCTGGGGGCTGGGTCAGCGAGGGACAGGCGGTGTTGGGGGCGTGTGGGGGTTCAGTGTGGGAGATGAACAGCATTGCGCTGTGGCCGATCCTAGAGTCCTGGGAGCCAGATGGCCTGGGTTCAAACCCTGGCTCCTCCACAAACCAGCTGTGCCATCCTGGCACGCTGCTTGGCCGCTGTGTGCCCCAGCTTCCTCCTCTATCAGGGGTGCTACTGTCGGGTGGGGGCGGGGCCATGCGACCCTGGTCAGGGCTGGAGGCCCACGTCCCTTTGGCGAAGGTGTCCTCCTCCTCCTCTCTCCCCAGATCCCCTTCTTCAGGAAACGCCGGCACCACGCCTGCCCCTGCCTGCCCAACCTGCTGTGCTCCAGGAGCCTGGACGGCAGGTACCGCTGCTCCATGGACTTGAAGAGCATCAACTTTTAGAGCCTGTCTGGTCGCAGGACCCCACCAGCCTTCTTGCTGACGCTGCCTGGGATGGCCTCTTATGGACTTTTCTTTCTGCCACATGGCCCTGTCCCCGCCGCCCCCAGCTGCCCCCGCTGCCACGCCCCACACCGCTTACCTCGGTCCCTCCTCCCAGCACACACACAGCCCGCATGCTGACACACTCTGCCCAGGGATGAGGTCTGCTGCGCTGGCCTGAGGGTGTCCCAGTGCGGCTGAGGCTCCGGAGGTGGCCTGACCGGTTTTCCTGGCCCAGGCTGCCTGAGGGGCTGTAAGTAACTGGAAAGGTATTCTCTCCCTTGTCCTTGCCTGGCTGCCCTTCTGCTCCTCAGAGGTGAGCATCCTCCCAGGCCCTGCCCTCCACCCCCCGCACATGCTCTCCCGCCTGAACCCCACCCAGCACAGACCCTGGAGTGCTCGGCGTCACCGTCTGGCCAGAGCCTCGGGCCCTGCGTGAAGCCTGAAGGGGTCCACCTGCGGTCGCCTTCCTCTGACGCACTAGTTCCTCAGCCCCACCCAGAGGGGCGTGGACAGTGACCTCGACGCAGACTGAGGAGCCAGGGAGGTCGGTGGGCCCGCAGGGTGGCCTGCCTGCTAGGCCAGAGTCACAGGGCCTCCAAGGTCCCCGTGCGCACACTTTGCGGGTTCACAGGGACGTCCCCAATTCCCACTGCCCCCCTAGGAGGCCAATGGTGGGGTTCGATCTGATCCGTATTTGAGGAGGTAATTACGTAGTTTCCTTAAGCAGCTCCTTTCTAAGGCTCAGGCCCTGAGAGCAGGTCTGTGACCTCGAGGAGGATGGGGGGGCGGGGGGGCCAGACAGGGGTGCGGGTCTGGGCCCACAGCCAGGACGCACGGGCCCCACGCCCGGGTACGCGTCTTGCTCTAGGCAGCAAGGGCATCTGAAGCTCACAGCGGCCTGCCTGGGAGCTGTGTCGCTGGCGCCCCCTCTCATCTAGACCCCCAGCCCCACTAAGCACCTCACATCATGACCCGGCCCGAGACTCCCTGGGGACAGGGTGGTGACACCAGATGCTGTGCTCCCTGGCCTGCCCGTTGCGGAATAAAAGCATAAACAAGGGGAGAGTGTCCGTGGTGTTCCTGCTAGGACTGTGTGGGGCCTGGGGGCAGGGATGGCTGGGCCCGGGTCGGGGGGACCCATGTCACGGTGCGCCTCCGCCCAGCCAGGATGGTTTCTTGGAGAAAGCGGATCCGGTTCTCTCTGAATGTAGGATGAGAGGCAGCTCAGCAGTTCGGGCTCAGATGCGGTGATGGGGAAGGCGGGAAGGGAGCCATGACAGAGACCTGGGCGGGGGGGGGGGGACCCCATCGGTGACACCTGGAGGGGGCGCAACCCCACTTCTGCACCTTTGTCCCTCAAGCTCAGTGTCAAATACGTGACGCCTCCACATGTGCAGGAGGAAGTTGGTCTCCAGGATGCGCGCGTGGGGCCCTGAGCCTGTGTCTGGCCCCAGGGGCGGGAATGTCCCTGAGTGCCCTGCTCTGGGTCCCCTGGCTCCTTCCTACTTCAACTTCTAGTCTAGAAAAATGCAAAACGTAGGGCGAGGCGGAGTGTCTCCCTGTTCCTCAGAAGCCTCCTGAAGCTCTGGTTTCGGAGGCCCGGGGCGTTTCTTTGTTGGGGGCAGGGGATGCCCGGGCAGACTTTACTCCAGGGCCCACTCAGGCCGGGCCTGGGCCCCCACGGGCCGCCTGCCCTGCCGACCAGCGCCCGTCCTCGGGGCCTGTGAGTCTCGCTTTCAGGCTCAGGTACCGGATGTGGGTTCCTTTTCATGCCAGGGGTTCCCCCAGGGGCTGCCGGCGGCTGCGGGTCCTGCCGTGCTGGGTGCCCCCTCTGCCCGAGCAGAGCCGCCGGGCGGGGGGCACGGGGTGGGGGCAGTGGCGCCCGCCTCAGCGCAGCAGACGGCAGGTGTCAGTCGCAGACACAGGGCGCCTGTCACCTGCTCTCTGGCCAGTCTGCAGATCCGTCCACGGGCCGAACCACACGTGCGTCCTGACCGGGCCGGGCCCCACATTTCTGTGTCAGAATGTCGAGGTGTGGAGCTTTGGTTTCTGCCCCAGGTCCTGTTGCTTCTCCTGAAGATGGAAGAACAAAGGGGGGCTGGGAAGCTAAGAGAAGTTTATTTGTGTGAGTTCTTTATATTCAGGACTATATTTTTCATATGTGTAGATATAAAAAGAATCTACTTATAAGTAAAATATTTCCATAATAAGGATGTATCTTAGAATAATTAAGTTAACTTAGGATTGCGTGAAGTAGACACCCCTCAAGATACAGGCCTTGACGCGCGGTCTCCATGCACCCCAATCCTTTCACCCCAATTGCGGGAGTCTGGTGCCATCTAGTGGCTAAAGGGGAGATGGCGCAGAAAACGCAGAAAATGGAAAAAACCGAAAGCTTCAGAAGGACGCAACCTTCTCAAACCAGATGGGGACCTGTCCTTGGATAATCCCAAGAGTTAGACTCGCTCAGAGGTTTAGAGGGGCAATGCTTCCACATGTGGAAAGAGGCTTCCATTCTAAGGAGCACAGGAGAAATGCTTAATTGCCCCTTTGGGTCCTGCCCCACGCTGGGTACTTCTTAGAAGCCACTGTCCTCTTCTGGTGAGACACTGCACACCCCTTCCCTAGGATTAGGAAAGTGGAGGTGGGCGTGGTCAGACAGTGATGATTGGGTGTCCCTCCCCATCTATCTGTGTGCTAGGCCTGTATGTTAGGGTCTCCACCCCCCCTTCCCCATATCCAAGTTCAAGGTCAGCCTAGATTTTAATTTCTCCTACTGTCCCTTCTTCCTGAGCTGCATGCCACAGAATATTACTTACCCACAAAAATGGAGCCAAGCACCTTGAAAACACTATGCTAAAAAGCCAGACACCAAAGACCACATCTCACCTGATTCTTTTTATGTGAAATGTCCACAAAAAGCAAATCGATGGAGACAGAAGTAGCTTGGCGGTTGCCTAGGGCTGAGGGCAGGAAAATGGAGAGCGACTATTAAGGGGTCCAGGGTTCTTTCTAGGGTGGCAACAATGTTCTAAAACGGTGTCTAAATCCTAAAGACCATGGAGTGATACATGTTGAATGGGTGACTTGGTATGGAATGCGAATTATATCCCAATAAAGCTGTTTAAAAAAATAAATACTAAAATCCACACATTAAAAAAAAAAAAAGCTCTCCAATGTCGGCGGGCAGGGTGAGGCTCATGCTCCGAGGCTGGAGAGCAAAAGGCCTAAGGCCGGAGCCTGTCTCGGCACCGCTCTCAGCCCGATAGATGGCCCATCTTTAGTGGAACCGGGGCTCAGCTCTGGGGACTTTGGGGCCTCCAGGCACCCGGGAGCCCCAGGTCTTCGGTGCAGCAGGTCTGAGGCATTGTGGGCTGGCAAAGGGTTTGGTGTCCCTTTGCGCCCTCTTAACCCTGGCTTTGTGGGCTGGGGAGAATGAGGTACCAAAGACTGCATTTGCCACGTGCGGTCTTCTATACCAGACAACTTGAATCCGTTTACAACATCGGTAATAAAAAACCCCTCACCGGCAGCACAAAAGCGCTGTACCGGCACTGTGCCCTTTGGGGCTTCCGTCTGATGTGATGGCTTCTTAAAATGTGTGTCAGTTGGCCTGGACGGACAGCTACGTTGGTGGGAGCATCATGGTCCCGTACACTGAAAGGTCTTGGGGTTTGATCCCCGGTCGGGGTGTGTATGGGAGGCAACTGATCGATGTGTTTTCCCTCTCTCGCTAAAAAGAAAAAAAAATCAATAAAAACATATTCTTGGGTGAGGATTTAAAAAAAAAAAGCGAGTCAGCTGGCGGCACTCAGAGCCCGTGGAGCTGCACCTTGCGCCCCGCAGGTGTGTGCTGGAGGCAGGCTGTCTCCTGCAAGAATGTTTTCAATTTTCCCACGGGGAGGCACTGCCCAGCTGGCCAAGGCAGAGTAGTTCCTATGGTGGCCACCGGGGACTGTCTGGGTTTCTTTATGAATTGCACCCTGAACCAATGACCCTGGGGAGGAATGAGGTTGTTGAACTAGGCACCGACCTCTCCTCATCCCAACCCCCTCAGCCCTCCTGAGGCGCCTCTCAAACTTGACAAAGCCGGTACTGAGGCCTTCCACTCACAGTTCATAAAGAAGGTTCCAGAAGGAGCCTGCGACCTGCCACAAGCCTGAGGGAACCATGCTGGGGCCTTAAGAAGACCATTTGGCCCAGGCCGTGGAGGCATGGCCTTCTGTCCAGAAGATTCTTTCTTGTCTCAGCTGTTGGCTACTTGGAAGGCTCTGCGGCCTATGGTCACAGGGGCATTCCTTTCATTTGTGACTTGGAGGAAAAGCATGGGTGTGGTTCTTACAAGGGATCAGAGCTGCTGGCTCCCCGCCTTGTACAGGGCAGGAGAAGTCTCTGGCCTAGAGAGACAGAGGGGACTTCATCTTGAGGTCAAAGATCAGTGAGGAGGGTTAGCTGGGCCTAAACAGAGAGACACTCATGGGAACGAGGCCGCGAGCAAAGTTCTGCCTGAGACAAGGTGCAGAGGGGCCTGTGACATTCCATCACAAAACAGCCCTGAAAACTAAGCAAACACATGTGTCAGGTGGCAGCGTGACAGGGTCTTGTCATTTTGCATTTCCCTCGGTTGACATTTCTCATGGAATTACCAGCAAAGTCACCTTGGTGACGTTGTCCCATGGGTGGGTTGCCCAGTGGTTAATAGCTCAGACTATGTGCGTCTGAACTCTGCTCAGGCCTCTTACAAGGGAGGACTTGGACCAAGTGACTGAACCTTTCTGCCTTGGTTTTCCCATCTGTCAAATGGCACTAATAACAGTAACCCTGTCCCCTAGGGTGGCTGTGAGTTAACTCGTGCATGCAAAGTACTTAGGATGGGCCCAACACGCGCGAGAGCTATTGGAACGTATCGTGCTTCATTTGGTTATTTATGAAGACATCGTGGACAGTCAGCACTGGGA